TAATAATCTTAACTATGAGATCATGTACACAACATAGTTTCAGTTCTTTTAAAACCGTCTTTGAACTTTTTGTTCAAGCCTAGTGACTTATTTCAGTACATGAATATCATCCCACCTTTTATCCTGTCCTGACAAACTGTGATCATGTGAACAGCACTGTTAGCCATTAAGTTGATTTGCACTGTAATTTACATACTTTACCAACTCTGTCTAACGTCAGACAATTTTATTAATCAGGGGGACACTGTCTCATTACGAAGCATAAAATCGTCCGGCGTTGGACAGTAAAATACTTGAGTGGAGCATGCTTCAGGGTACAGCACAACAAAATGGTTTAAATTTTATATCTGAATTAATGATTGTTTTGCTTTGTTTTACAGATCATTACTGAACATGGTGATGGAATAGTAATTTATAAAATGTCATGTTACCATGTGATAAAACACCTCAAACAACAATACATGAGGAAATACTTTAATTTTCCGACCATGACAATGCACCAAAGACTGTAATATCATGAAGCCGTGAATTTAAAGAAAATGTATCAAATGACAAAGACAGTGATGAAATTGGATGCTTCAGTCGAAATAAAAGAATGGAATGGTATGGTCAGTAATGGATATTTGTGGCTATACTAAATGGATACAAAGAGACTATGATGGGTAAATATGGCACTGTAATGGTAGTCAGTTAATGGATATACAAAGGTCACAGAAATGTCTACTTTCAGGTGATGTTTTTTCTTGTTTGCCTGCAAACAGGCTGTAGATGTGTAGATACTTGTACCCAGGCCATTGTTTGTTTTTTGTTTTGGGTACAATGAAGTCGGTGAAGGCTATTTCAGTTACGGTAGAGCACCTTGTCCCTAGCCCTTTTTCGACGATGCTGTTAATTCAATATGGCGCCAAGCTAAGGAGTGCAGTTTAATGGATTTTATATTCTATATTTTCTACTGTTTTTGGTTGGTAGAACTTATCTTGTGAAATGTCAGATATGTTAGTCCTTATCTGAAAAAATATTTTATAACAGAATTTCTCTCTAACATAATTTAGAATATAATATAGAATATAATAAATTAAACTCATAGAAATATTAGACTTGGTGTTTGGTCACGTGACCGGTATCCAAATTGAGAACAAAAATGCCCTTGTAAATCAGGAATGTTGAATTTGAGTAGAGTGCAAACTACAAACTTTAAAGGACATTGGCAACCAACATTTTTATTACTTATATCTATTAGGTATACTTACGGAATATTTAATTTCATATTTTGACCGGTTTGTCGCGTTTAGTTGCTGATAAAATTTGATTGAATTTGTGAAAATTTGAACAGTTGTTCGCCATTTTGAAAGTAAGCTATGCGTATGCTAATTTATGCCACAAAATACATTATCTGACGTCATTGGCTGGGTAAAGACAATCTCATGACTATAAACAATACCGTGTATTACCACGCGTAGTGCATTTTGAGCCAAAACAAAAGCAGAAAAGTTTTACCAAGTATGTAACTTGTTTGTAACACTATTTCTCACAGTATATACCCTACTCCGGTGTTAAATAAGCGCAGAAATTCGAGTGTAACAAGGCAAATACTAATGCAATATTTTATGATCAATTACCTGTATTGTAAATTGCGCCATTTCTTGCTTTCCCAGTCGCTCGATATGTTTTTGTATCTGCGCGTAGCGCAGATATATTGCTATCGCGTCAGTCAGTAAAGTAAAGTAAAGTAAAGTAAAGTTAAGTAAGTTAAGTTAAGTTGTTAAGTCCGTCAACCTTGTTTTGAAGGCCTGTTCGCAGGCTAGAACAGCTTTAAAACAAGATGGCGTCTTTCGAAAAGCTTTCAAGAGTAGTAATCATTAGTAATCGTGGTATTAAACTATTAATAGACTTTATCCTGACTTTATTTTGATAAAATCTTCTTCTATAGCAGTCTTTTTGATATAACTTTTACAGTCAAACCGGATGTTCTGTTCCCATGAGTATTGCAACATTGCAATCAATCTTGCAATGTTGATTGCAAATTGCTCCGAGCAAATTACACGCAAGTATTCAACTGTCATTTTTTCAAGCTCCTATCACTCCCGTGTTGGGGAAAGGGAATAACAAATCAAAAGGACTAATATTGTGCCTACCACTTGACAAATTAAAGGTAAACTGGAATGTATAGAGGATATTTATACATGGTTGTGCGGAAATATGTAATTTATTTCGAGGGTTGAAGAGAACTATTGCTAACGAGTGAGCGTAGCAAATTGCAAGTTGTTCCATTATGTGATTTAATAATCTAAATTTTTGAGTAAGGTCATGGACATATTGTAATTATTATGAGTATTTACTATTTTATCTTCGTATCAAACCAAATATATAGCATTGCGAGCTTTAATTGGTATTAAACTCTGTCAGTTTGAGAACATATGTTTACATATTTAACTACCGCAAAATAAATCCCTCTTTGGCACTGAATTTTGCATGTTATTTAGTATTTTTGTATCACGTTAAGATCAAAATGGACATATTTCTTGAATAATACTTTTAATCTGTGAAATGATATATATATAAAAATATTAGTCCTCATACTTCGTTTTGGATTTGTTACTTTTTGTGATAGATAGGGGTACCAATTTAAAGCCTTGATATTTCCAGAGGTATTAAAATACAAAATTAGCCTGTGACAGTATGCTCCTGATTTTACTTCATACTCGATTTGGAGCAACACAAGTTCTACAACAAGAACGTACACGATGCACTGTGCAAATTAGACTTGCCCAAGTCGCTCGCTAGGGACCGCGCGTAGCAAGAAGGAAGCGCTGGAGAAAGACGGAAGCGAGCGACTTGTGTCACTTGCCTGATTTTGAATCTTACTGAAAAATTTGGCGCGAAAATCAATTATGAGATAGTGGGCGTTCACCATGTCAATTTCACTAGTTACTCGCTGGGGCCTTTCGTGGAGTGGCCAAAATATTTCAAACAATTTCGTTAAAATTTTCAACGAATTGTAGCTGTTTTTATGGATTTTGCATTGTGTCTAACTCTAGACATTCTTGCCAGTTTAGTTAATGCGTTTTTCTTTGTGCACGACTCTGAAAATCCGAAATTTGGATCGTCGAATTCCCGTGCACGATCATAATATACTGAATCTGAATATAAACGAGGCAAAGACAATTTCAAGGTAAAATTATAACTTACAGTAAACTAGAAGTTACTATCGCAAGGAAAATGCTGCCTCACCCCCAAGGGATTAAAGGCAGCATGCACAATTTGCTGAATAAGGGGCTGTTTATATGATCCCGCTTTGCCAGGAGATATGAGGCAGGATGATTTTGATGTGCTTAAATAATTCACGATGCATGATTCAGCAAAAAATTTCACTATTTTCTAGAGATGGATTACGGTATAGTTAACTGTAAACGAAAGGTTGCCTGTTCAAGCATAATATAACCTTCTTGAACCACACGATCTTCTCTACATTTGAACTAATTCTCTACATTTGAGCGTTTGAACTTTCGTTTAGCCTAGTGACTAATATTTTAATACATCAAAAGCATCCCTTCTTCCATCATGCAAACAGCCCTTAAGACGCCTGTTCAGGAGGTAGGAAAAATGCAATTTGAATATCAAACATCTTGCACAAAGTCAAAGGGCGGCTGAAAGTTCTAATTCTACTTTCTTGGCATGGGCGGTTTTATATGAATATCTTCAATGCTTATAACGTCTAGCTGTTGTATAATTATAATACGGTCAGTGGTGAAGGTAGCCATAGGAACAGGTCATGCTATGCAAGTTTTTAATGATTTGCATTATTCAAATAGATGCAGGTTTATCAGTATAGCATGCATATGGCCAGTTGTCATGGGCAATCATGAGACAAATGCCGAGTATAACTCGGTTCCATATAAACAGAGCACTTGTTTGTCCCGCCTGGGCGAGTAACTCGCCTTGCCGGTTAACTCACTTCCATGTAAACAGGCCCTAAGTCGGGGTTTGTTCCAATTATTGTTTTAATGCCACCTTCAAGACTGCCCATATCACAGAAAAACCGAAAAATATGCTGATGGGGAGACAATATCTATTTGTTGACATTTCTAATTGTGAGCATTATCGAAAAATATAATACACTGTGAAATGTAATGCCACAGCCAGATGAATATATTATATATATGAATGTAGGCTGGTAGGATTATTTCATATTATGCTAACAATAAACACAAAGTCAAATCTTATACAAAAATCAGTCGACATACTATTACATGTAATCATATTGTTGGTATAAAGTCAATATGTGCAGAGAACAATCCACACTGGGTTGCTCTAGGGATCTTATCACAGTAAGCCTGATTTAACAACATTCCGCGTGTTGTTATTAAAACTATAAACATCTAGAAATGAACACTATACTCATCGTCTTGGCACATAACAAACAATTAAACAAATATTAAAACTGACTAAGGCATTATTGACGAATAGATCTGCCGGTAAATTCATGAAATACTTCAGAGCTCTTAAGTACTACTCTTGTCTCCTTGTATTTATAAGACATTATCAAATGTTCTAAACGACCATGCGGACAATGGGAATATTTCGGGCTATAAAAAGCGCCGTGAACTCATGACATAAAAGCACATTGCTTGCCTCCAGAATGAACGCTAAACAGTTCATGGCCCTGATGGATATTAGCACAAAGAAATAAAGCCAAACTTACCCGGTTTCTTCGAGAAATGTTCGTATATTTTGCATCAAGTGCAGATCCAGAATAAATTTGCATATAGCCATATAAATATTTTCTCGCACTCCCCCCGTCCGTTCCCCCCCGGATTTACGACATCTTAACAGACACAAGATCGAGATCTCGACAATACATAGATCGGCGCGAAAGACTGGGTCGAGTGAACTCTGGAGAAACCTTCATGTCAAGATTAGGAGTGCTGCCTTCGGCAGCAACTACACAACTTACTTTTACTGTAATAGATAACTACTTTACGAGAAGTCATATCAATATAAAATTTATCCAACAACAGTCCCTATATTAAATTGTTGTTAATAGCTGTGGAAACGTGAAAACTGCAGTGCGGTGAAATATATTGTATTTGTAATGGCTAATGGCGCAATAAGGATAAAAATACCAACGTTTGATTCAGCGTAAGAAATTGTACTTACGGATGTCAAATGTATTACTAAACAACGGTATTCTAGCGATTTATGGCCATTCAAAATCAAGCGAAATTGTATTGTTTACAAATCGTTTGCAATACGTATTCATGTTGACACTCAGTCGCAGTATGTTTGTCCTTGACCTTGTACTAAGTTGTAATGCCTAATGCGCAATAAAGATAAAAAATACCAGCGTTCGATTCAGCGTAAGAAATTGTACTTACGGGTGTCAAATGTATCACTAATTAAACAACAGTATTCTAGCAATTTATGGCCTTTATCTTTACAGTAAAATCCACGCGAAATTGTATTGCGAACGAATCGCTCAAAATTATTCAACTAATTATAAAAAATGCAGTACGTTTGATCCTTGATAACTTTGGTATCGTTGGTTTTCTCTTTTTCGGCCGTATACCAGTGGATTTGTCTCACTTCTCTCTTCATTTTGATAGTATTTTGTGCCCAAAGGCCCCAAACTATTTTATTTTTAACGTTTTAAAGCGCTGTTTATAAATCCTAGCCGGTGGACTAACGCCGGGAGTTTTGTTTGTATAGGCCGCATTGGTACTGTGTCTGATTGTATAAAATCATGAGCTGGGCTCATTATATTAACAGAAACTTCAAAACTGAGCCACCTACCAGCAATACAAACCTAGCCAATTTGAGAGCGGCAGCACTCTCCTCTTGACAAGCAAAATCGACTGGTATATAAGACATTAAAATAATAAAGTAGGTTGCATGATAGACAGAGCACTGTTACATGTTGATATAGTTCAAAACAGAGTGAACAAAACTGTAACTGAAAAGTTTAATCTTCAACCCTTTGTCGCTCGTATTCGACAGTTCCGCTTAGCTCGGGACAACCAAGGGACAACCATAAATCTTATGTGAAACAACTGTGTACTGCATGCATGTATGAATCATATACGGTTATGTGCGTGTTTGTACGGTGTATAGCCCCAGTTAACGCTCTATAGAGCGTCTTGTTCATTATTGTTTTGTTCATGCGACTTTCCATACAGTATTCACAATGGATGGCGAGTCTGTTTATCAATGGTTTATATTAAATATAAATTTTACAAAATGGCGTCGTTAGTACAGAATAATAATGAGCATTCACTGACGTCACCGGAGCAAAAATGCACCGGTGATTTTGGCGCGCTTGCGGGTGACAAAAGTCCGCAGCTTCCAGGAACCACGAACCGCGGACTTTGGAAAGTCTATAGCCTGGTTTCCATTAAATCGTAATCATCGCAATAGTCGCGGAACGCAGACATCGCTATCGCAAAAATCGCAATAAGTCTATCTTTGCGACTTTGTCGTAATAGTCTTAGTGATCGGTGTGACTCAAGTTTCCGATAAATCGCAGCTTTTATTAAAATTTCCGCCCTTTTAAAATCGTTGCGACGCTTGCGATGCGGTTCTTGCGATAATTACGATTTAATGGAAACCAGGCTTATGTCCAAATATAAAACGTCATATTTATAGATATTTGATTGACATGTTTACGCACAGGCCACGCATTTCATACCGCACGGGTTTTCCCTGAGTTTTTATAATCGGGGCTTCCATTTCCGGCAATTGTTTTATGGTTGAATCTTCACGAAACAATTACAAATTTTAGATAGACACGCAAATTATATTTGCGTATATATCTTGACTGTTATTTAATGGAAGCCTCTGAAACTAGGCTAAACTATGAAAACAAAGTATAGGATAAACGTAGCCCTGTTGTTTTAAATGTCAGAAACTATTATTAGCTCATGACTCCATGTACAGACGTCTAATCCCACGTCTTTGAATCCACACATTTTACAGCCTTAATTAATTATTTTCTTTAAATTGTTCTTAAAAGTAATGAACTGTATGAATAGCAGATATTTAGCTCCAGATAAAAAGAAACATTTTTGTATGATTGTTATCAGTTGCCGTGATTCGGGATATAAATGGTTCTCGTCCTCTTTATTTAGAAGTCACTGGTTAAATGTAAATATTATATCTGAAGCAGGCATATAATTTCAACTAGCACAATTTTGCACAATTGCTGTAAGAATGTAATTCCGAGAATGCAACATCAATGCAGTAAAGGCCTGATTCCACGAGCGTTTTTTTCTCGGCGAAATGCGAAACATTTCTACTTACTGCGAAAGCGGACAAAGTGGGACAATTCAATACAATCGCTCATGTGCAACCACCGTATTTCGCAGACACAAGTTCTCGCGACGAATTTCGCCGTCGTGGAATCAGACCTTAAGACCCAGACACACCGGACGCGATTCGACAACGCGACGCGATTTTTCAGTTAGTTTGAAAAACAGCCAATGAGAGCAAATCAGTTAGAAACATATGTAGACCAAGTAACTTAAAATGTTATAGCGCTTCTAAATATTTGGAAAATATAAACTTGGATCAAAGTTATCGGTCAGTAAAAATCGAAAAATCGCGTCGCGTTGTCGAATCGCGTCCGGCGTGTCTGGACCTTTAATGCGCAGATACATGTACGCGGTCGCGTACCTATTTTTATAATAAGCCAACATTGCCCGAGCGTGAAGCGAATATTGCCCGACTGGCTTTGTTTGCCCAACAAACTGGGGGGCCTGCCGCCCCCTCCGCCCCCTTCCCCTCCCGCACGGTACGCCCATGATCAGATAGCAATATGTCACGCATCCGATCAGCGTGGGCGCCATTGTTATTTTTCGATTTTGTCCGCAACCTTTTCCCATGGCAGTAGTTTACTGCAATTCAGAATTTCGTTAAAGTATATCTTGGGTTAATACCGTTCTCTTCGTATTCCATGGCACCGCCGATCTTGCATTTATCACTGCCTTTGACGCTTCTTCTTTTGCGAGTAAAACTCGTACATTATTACCGCAGTGTCTATTCGTATCCCTTCGACTCCAGCTTGCCTCTCCCGAGTTTCCACACACACCTTCGTACCTGGAATCGGCAATTTATTGTCTTGATGATTCAATGGATAGTCCACCTCTAACTGCATTAATGGTTGAATATCATCCCCCACTTGCTTGATAAATTTCATAGTTCTTTCATCCGTCTTGATCTTCTCTTCCTCACTTGCTAAATGTGTATCAATGTGGCTCTGTCCATTTTCATATCTTAGTCCAGGCGCAGTTGCATGCCTGTACCGCCATGTTAATATCATCAACATATCGCGATCGTTCGTTCAGTCTCTGAATAACTCGAGTCTGTGATAATCTTGTGGTAAACTCTTTGTACCACCACATCACGAATATTTGTGCTGTTTACCTCAGTCCGATTGGACCACCTTTCATCTGTTTTCTCACCAAAATCACCATAGACCTTGTGGCTTTAACATACTAAATCTGAAAAATATTGTCATACACAAACCTAATGTCTGTATTACAAAGTCCTCAAAGTCACATTTACCTAATTTCTGCTGTATTAATGCCAGATCGCTGCTTCCAAAAATAGATGAACTCACCTTGTTTTTAAGTTGTCGCCAACCCAGTGTAGTGGCGGTCACTGAATCATAATTGAACAGTGACATCGAGGATGGACTCGTTTCGATAAACGGATATAACATTTTTCGTAAAGACCGTTCTAGCCGTCGTGGAGGAGGAATTTGTGCTTATCTACTACAGGGCACCTATGCCAAACGTAGGTTGGACCTGGAACATGAAAATTTAGAATGTCTGTGGCTGTGGCTTCGCCTTCCCCGCCTTCCCAGACCGCTCTCTGGTATTGCAGCGTGCATAGTCTATCATCCCCCTGGTTTACCTGTAGAAAACCACCGCCAACTTAATGAATACTTAGTTTTAACAATAGATTCATTACGCAACCAACATCCCAACTGTGGTCTAGTCCTTGGTGATTTTAACGATTTCGATATATCGAATATATTATCAAGTCATAACCTGAAGCAAGTTGTCAAAGTCCCTACAAGAGGAACAGCCATTTTGGATCTGATAATTACGAACCAACCAAACCTGTATGAACCTCCCCAAGTTTTAGAGCCCTTAGGGTCCTCAGACCATAATATTGTAACATGGTCACCCAGTCTAGAGAGTACCAATTCTCAAGAACGTACGAAATCTGTCAAACGTCGCATCCGGCGCTATCCAAGGTCTGGGGTTGAAGCTTTGGGGAGATGGATCGCTACACATGTCTGGTTTGGCGAGTTAGGGACTAATCAAACGGTAGACGATTTAACATCATTTTCGTCGCACCTTACAGAAGCCATTAATCGTATCCATTGATAATCCCTGAAGGAACTCGAGTTCCAACTGTTGACATCAAAACTGTTGAAAACGTTATGATGAGACCAAAAACAAACATCACCTGATCCGGATGGTATTCCGTATTGGGTTTGGAGGGATTTTGCCTGCTATCTTGCACCAGTTCTTACAAATGTATTAAATTCTTCTTTGAGACAGCAGCGTGTACCTAGTATGTGGAAGCTAGCGAATCTAAGCCCATTACCTAAGGAATCTCCGTTAACCGAATGCGATCAATTGAGACCAATATCGTTGACTAATGTTATTATGCGATTCTTCGAAACGATCATATTTCAAGAAGAGATTCGTCATCCCTCAAAATTGATTATCGGTAAGAACCAGTACGCTTATAGGGAAAACTCGAACACTACTGCAGCTCTGATAAAGTGCCAGCATCATTGGCTAAAATGGTTAGACGATAAGGCTAACTTCATTCGGGTAATATCCTTCGATTTCAGTAAAGCGTTTGATAGCGTCCCCCACGATATTTTAACACAGAAATTGAAATCAACAAATCTTAATCCTTATATTATCAATTGGCTCATTAATTTTATATCGTGTAGGAAACAGAGAGTTACTGTAGATGGAACTGTTACCAATTTTGTTAATATCAACAGAGGAGTACCTCAAGGTACAGTTCTTGGCCCCTTCTTATTTTCGTTAATGGTCAACGACATTGAAGCCAAACATCCACAAACGAACAATTTGGTCAAGTTTGCAGATGATTTAACAGTGAGTGTTCCTGTCACATCGTCTGGTGACTCGGCTTTGGACGAGGTAACTAACATTGAGAGTTGGGCAAGCAACAATAGAATGAAACTCAACTTTAAAAAAAACCTGGGAAATGTTACTATGTACTCGTTCACCTGCCATACCTCCCCCCCCCCTTATTAATGGAATACGACGTAAAAAATGGTTAAAACTACTTGGTGTCACCTTTCAAGAAAACCCACGTTGTTGGGACAAGCAGGTAGATAGCTTGTTGTCAAAGGCAGGAAGTCGAATTTACATCCTGAGAGTTTGTAAATTCTACGGATATTCACTAAATGAACTTACTAAATTGTTCGATTCATTGATCCTGTCGTTATTTTACTATGCAATTGAAGTATGGGGATCGGCTTTGCAAGCGAAATACATTGATAAATTCAACAAGTTTCTCAATCGTGCATTCCGATATGGATACACTCAGAATAAATATTCAATGGCCAAGATGATTGAAGAGAGGGATCGATTATTGTTCAATAAGGTCATGCACAATCCTGAACATTGCCTATATGAGTTGTTACCGGAAGAACGTCGACGACCTTTAATTTAAGAGAACGCGATCATCAATTTATGTTACCAAAAGTTTACACAACGTTTTAAACAATCATTTTTGAACAAGTGTCTTTTTAATGACCTTTAGTTTTAAAATTTTGTTATATACGATATATAATATTAACTATAATGTAAATAATTTAATTTATAAATAATACTAAATTTGTAAATAATCTAATTAACACTTCTCATATGCACTGAACGTTTTAATAATTACTATATATATATTTATATATATCTTATATGCACTGTAAAGATGCACGTTTGTTGCATCTTCAATTTTTAATAAAGACGTATAATAATAATAATAATAGTATATTCCCTCCTATAACTGTGAAGTGGCATGAAACCGATAAACCTTGGATAACCCCAAGTATTAAAAAACTGATTAAAGACCGACAGAAAGCATTCCATAACCATACTACCCCCCTATGGAAATTTTTAAGATATAAAGTCCAAGAGGAGATTAAGCAAAGAAAGAAATCATTTTGTAAAAACAAAGTTCATGGAAAATCATTAACAAAATGCTGGCAAACCCGAAACAACAAAGCCTTTCACCTTAGAACGCGATGGTGAAATCCTAAACAATTTACAAGCTTCCAATGCTCTTAACGAATTCTATACTTCCGTTAACGCTGATATTCGGCCATTAGATGTGAACTTATTACCACCGTTTTTACCATTTAATGGTTCAATTGCTCTGTTATATGAGACAAGAAAACGCGAACACGATTTAATATGTGGGAGAATGGGTTTTTGGGGGTAAAGTACTCCGGTTACACTTAAACTATGGTCTGATCCCAACGACTCATTATAGCTTATGATCATCCCGCGGGGGTGTATATAAGACCCGCTAGGAGAGACTGAATGCTCCATAGGAGCTCTGCCCGAAGGGTAGCGACCCCCTCTGACATAGACCTGAACCAAGGGGTGGTAATCCCCTTGGACAGTACCTACGATTCGACTGATTACATTCAATACATCTGAGTCTATGGGCCTGAAGTTGACCATTGGGAGCACTTTAACCCCGAAAACCAATAATATATATATATTTTTTTTTAAATATAAAAGTAACAATTAACACCAATGTATATAATATTCTAATAATTATTTGGGGAGGCACAGTACAATTAAGTTCAGTACAAGTGTTCTCCCAGTGTATCTAATATTTCCCCGATGCAGCATAGTCCTCTGTCTAGTGATCACCATGTTTTCTCATGTGGACACAGCATCCTGTTTCCATCAATAAATTCTCTTTGGATGAATGGATACCTCTGGCCAGAAGTGGTGGGTGGGTGGGATTAAAGAATTTGAGCAGCTTTTGATATATCCTATAGCTCTGCAAACTTTAAACAAAGTGATATATTCCGAGCATGCTTTGACTTTTCATTGCCTATTCTGAATTTGATTGGTCAGTTTTGGCGGTTTGAGGAAACTGTATTCTCATTGGCTTGTAGCTGTTGTATCATCACCTGTGCATGTGCATACATGTGACGAGCACGAAGTGACCTTTGAGATTTTAAAAACAAGCAGCTCCTGGCAGGCAGATGAACTTTGTACTGTCCGAGTGACAAAGCACCTTTGCACAATTTAAATGTAGGCAATAGGTTGCATTAGCAATAGGTTGCAAATGAGCATTGCTCCATTAACTTGAATTTATATAATTGTATATATAAATTGGCTTTAATGGTTCAATTGCTCTGTTATATGAGACAAGAAAACGCGAACACGATTTAATATGTGGGAGAATGGGTTTTGGGGGTAAAGTACTCCGGTTACACTTAAACTATGGTCTGATCCCAACGACTCATTATAGCTTATGATCATCCCGCGGGGGTGTATATAAGACCCGCTAGGAGAGACTGAATGCTCCATAGGAGCTCTGCCCGAAGGGTAGCGACCCCCTCTGACATAGACCTGAACCAAGGGGTGGTAATCCCCTTGGACAGTACCTACGATTCGACTGATTACATTCAATACATCTGAGTCTATGGGCCTGAAGTTGACCATTGGGAGCACTTTAACCCCACAAATACACAGCGTGTATTCCCCATAGACGAGGACCCACATATAAGCGGAAAACATGCATGTTTTGAGTTAAATGAACTAACTTAGTATTTTTGTCGGCGCATTCATTATCAGTTCAACAGACATTAATGGTTCGCAGTATTGACCAACATGGCTGATACCCCCGATAAAGTCGATGGAGGCGTCTTTATATAACGTTCGTAACAATCTGACGACCACCGTCCTAACGTTTTAATGAGCCATGACGGCAATTTAGCTTCAGCAGCAGTTGTTGCTGCCCCTATCCTGTAGCTATGGCCCGCATAGTCTACGGCATTGAAACCCGCTTGAGTCAACAGTTGCCGGGTTTTGATGGTTAAAATTTGTTTTGTGAGAGGTTTTCCTGATGCATGAATAAACAGAGGCCCAGATGTTATGGGCCGACGCAAAAAATATGTTTTCAAGGCTTGCACAGGGCAAACCTCAGAATCAGTGGCCCCGACTGTGATAGTATGGCCCAGCCGGAATGGGTCCGTCTTTGATTCTTTAATGTGAACAGTCATAAATTGAGGGCTTTTTATGCCAAGATTTGGCGAAAAAACGATGCTATCTCGGGAAAGGTGAATATTTGGATTATATTTAGAGTTGCATGTTAGCTCACCAAGACGGAGAAAGCCAAAGAAGGCTAGTGTCATTGCTGCCCATATCATCAGGCAGTCAAAGTTTTGTGTTCTGGGGATCGCAAGCAACAGTCTAAAAAGCTTCAAATGGTGAATAGTGATTGGTAGGCGAACTCTAACTTGGTCTCCATGGGAACGTTTAATTCCTCGTAACACAAG